CTTCTTCTTCTTCTTCTTCTCTCTTTCTCTCTTCTTCTTCTTCTTCTTTCTTCTCTCTTCTTCTTTCTTCTTCTTCTCTCTCTTCTTCTTCTTTCTTCTTCTTCTTCTTCTTCTTCTCTTCTTTTTCTTCTTTCTCTCTTCTTCTTCTTCTTCTTCTTCTTTCTTCTTTTCTTCTCTTCTTCTTCTTCTTCTTCTTCTTCTTCTTCTTCTTCTTCTTCTTCTTCTTCTCTTCTTCTTCTTCTTCTTCTTCTTCTTTTCTTCTTCTTCTTCTTCTCTTCTTCTTCTTTCTTCCTTCTCTTCTTCTTCTTCTTCTTCTCTTCTTCTTCTTCCTTCTTCTTCTTTCTTCTTCTTCTTCTTTCTTCTTCTTCTTCTTCTTCTTCTTCTCTTCTTCTTCTTCTTTCTCTTCTCTTTCTTCTTCTTCTTCTTCTTCTTCTTCTTTCTTCTTCTTCTTCTTCTTTCTTCTTCTTCTTCTTTCTTCCTCTTCTTCTTCTTCTTCTTCTTCTTCTTCTTCTTCTTCTTCTACTTTCTTCTTCTTCTTCTTCTTCTCTTCTCTTTCTTCTTCTTCTTCTTCTTCTTCTTCTTCTTCTCTTCTCTTTCTTCTTCTTCTTTCTTCTTCTTCTTCTTCTTCTTCTTTCTTCTTCTCTTCTTCTTCTTTCTTCTTTCTTCTCTCTTCTTCTTCTTCTTCTTCTTCTTCTTCTTTCTCCTTCTTCTTCTCTCTTCCTTCTTCTTCTTCCTTCTTCTTCTTCTTCTTCTTTTCTTTCTCTTCTTCTTCATTTTCTTCTTCTTCTTCTTTTCTTCTTCTTCTTTATTTCTTTCTTCTTCTTCATCTTCTTCTTCTTCTTCTCTTCTCTCTTCTCCTCTTCCCTTTCTTCTTCTTCTTCTTTCTTCTTCTTTTCTTCTTCTTTTTCTTCTTCTTCTTTCCTTCTTCTTTCTTCTTCTTCATTCTTCTTCTCCTTCCTCTTCTTCTTCTTCTTCTTCTTCTTCTTCTTTCTTCTTCTTCTTCTTCTTCTTCTTCTTCTTCTCCTCTTCTTCTTCTTCTTCTTCTTCTTTCTTCTTCTTCTTCTTCTTTCTCTTCTTCTTCTTCTTCTTCTTCTTCTCTCTTCTTCTTCCTCCTCATCCTCTTTCTTCTTCTTCTTCTTCTTCTTCTTCTTCTTCTTCTTCTCTTCTTCTTCTTATCTTCTTCTTCCTTCTTCTTCTCTCTTCTTCTTCTTCTTTCTTCTTCTTCTTCTTCTTTTTCTTCTTCCTTCTTCTTCTTCTTCTTCCTTCTTCTTCTTCTTCTTCCCTTCTTTCTTCTATCTTCCTTCTTCTTATCTTCCTCTTCTTCTATCTTCTTTCTTCTCCTTCTCTCTTCTCTCCTTCTCTCCTTCTTCTTTCCTTCTCCTTCTTCCTTCTTCTTCTTCCTTCTCTTCTTCCTTCTTCTTCTTCTTCTTCTTCTCTTCTCTCTTCTTCTTCTTCTTCTTTCTTCTTCTTTTCCTCTTCTTCTCTGCTTCTATCTTCTTCTTCTTCTTCTTCTTCTCTTCCTTTCTTCCTCTCTTCTCTTCTTCTTCTTCTTCTTCTTCTTTCTTCTTCTTCTTCTTCTTCTTCTCTCTTCTTCTTCTTCTTCTTCTTCTTCTCTTCTTCTTCTTCTCTTCTTCTTCTCTTCTTCTTCTTCGTCTCTCTTCATCCTTCTTTCTTCTTCCTTCTTCCTTCTCCTCCTCTTCTCCTCTTCTCTCATTCTTCTCCTCCTCCTCTCTTAGCTCCTCTTCCTCTCTTCTTCTTCTTCTCCTCCCTCTCTTCTATCCTCCTCCTTCCTTCTCCTTCCTTCTCCTTCCTTATTCTCTTTCTCCTCCTTCCTTCTTTCTCTCTTCTCCTTCCTTCTTCTTCCTTCTTCTCTTCTTCTCTCTTCCTTCTCTCTTCCTCTCTTCTTCTTCTTCTCTTCTTCTTCTTCTTCCTCTTCTTCTCTTCTTCTTCTTCTTCTTCTTCTTCTTCTTCTTCTTCTTCTTCTTCTTCTTCTTCTCCTTCTCCTCCTCTCCCCCTCCTCCTCTCTCCCTCCTTCTTTCTTCTTCTTCTTCTCTTCTCCTCTTCCTCCTCCATCCTCCTCTTCTCCTCCTTCTTCCTTCTTTTTCTTCTTCTTCTTCTTCTTCTTCTTCTTCTTCTTCTTCTTCTCTTCTTCTCTTCTTCCTCTTCTTCTTCTTCTTCTTCTTCTTCTCTTCTTCCTTCTCTTCTCCTCTCTCTTCTCTCCTTTTCTTGAATTAGTTAATTGAAGTAAAGGAACATTTCCCTCGCCATCAGGCCTACTGGGCATACAGGGCTAGACCTATATTTTATAGACCAATCAACAATCTGTGGGTGATGTGGGTCAGCATCACGCAGGCCGCCTTTACTTCCCGGGACTGCACCCGGTACCCACTAAAGGCTGGGTCGACCTGGGAGTCAAAGTCATTTTAAAAAAATGTCCGGCTCCGTCAGGATGCGAACCCATGACCTTCCGATCCGCACGCGAGTGTCTAGCCGCTACGCCACGGCGAACGCCTATAGAAATATAGACATACAGAGAAATTTAAATGCAGTGGTTTTTTAAAGAAAGACCGCGAATGAAGAAAGAGTTAATTAAAAAAAATTGAAAAAAAATAAAATAAACAGGAGACAACTGAAATATTTTAGCCATAATGAAAGACATAGTATGTTTAAAAAAAAAAAAACCCACACTGGAAGGAAAAGTTGTGGAGTAAGTGAGCAAGAGGTAGACAAAGTTATAAATGGTATGACAACATTTAGAGATAGAATATAGCAATCTGAGACAGTATACAACCAGGACAAGAGACAGAGCGTTTTGGAGATCCTTTGCAGTCAACCTTTGCAGTCAACCTTTGCAGTCAACCTTTGCAGGCAACCTTTGCAGTCAACCTTTGCAGGCAACCTTTGCAGTCAACCTTTGCAGGCAACCTTCACTATGTAGACAGCACCTGATAGACTGAATTCTGACAAGAAACCGAAGTATCATTTCCGGATGACATATATTGCAGAGCTCTCCTTTAATGAAAAATTATTAAGGAAATGTGCAAGATCGGCACTGTGAATTAATTTTGGGCGAAGCATAGTGGATTATGCGAGATCCAGCTACAAATCCTAGGTAAGTTGTGGGGACCTGTTTTGGCCATCGGGGAGCAACAGAAAAAAAGAATCCTAACGTGCACAGTCTGTAGCAACAGCCCTAGCCATGCCGCGCTAAATCCTCAGGCTCAAAGACGCCTTAGCCATAACCGCAAAAGTAGTAGATAAAGGCATTAATGACAGTATATTAGGTTGTACGTTCGGCTACCAGCCCATTTGTCTTGGGTTCGATTCCGCACACGAGCGATATTTTTACTACATAGATCTTGGCTTTCAGGCTGACTTGTCTGTAACATTTATCATATCAAGCACATCACCTGCTGAGTGCCAGTTGGTCTTTAAACAAATATGAGTGGAACATGTGATGTTGGACCCATGTATTTATAGATATTGCGGCAAAGCATGCAGCATTAGGATAGGACATCGATACGATGATTGCTACAGATGAGGTAGGAGAAGACAAAAAAACATGAAAAAAAAAAACAAAAAACCGGAGGAGAATGAGATAGAGGAGGAAGTGAAGAAGAAGAAGAAATAGAAGAAGAAAAAGAAGAAGAAGAAGAAGAAGAAGAAGAAGAAGAAGAAGAAGAAGAAGAAGAAGAAGAAGAAGAAGAAGAAGAAGAAGAAGAAGAAGAAGAAGAAGTAAAAAAGAAGAAGATGAAAGAAGAAGAAGAAGAAGAAGAAGAAGAAGAAGAAGAAGAAGAAGAAGAAGAAGAAGAAGAAGAAGAAGAAGAAGAAGAAGAAGAAGAAGAAGAAGAAGAAGAAGAAGAAGAAGAAGAAGAAGAAGAAGAAGAAGAAGAAGAAGCAGCAGCAGCAGCAGCAGCAGGAGGAGGAGGAGAAGAAGAAGAAGAAGAAGAAGAAGAAGAAGAAGAAGATGAAGAAGAAGAAGAAGAAGAAGAAGAAGAAGAAGAAGAAGAAGAAGAAGAAGAAGAAGAAGAAGAAGAAGAAGAAGAAGAAGAAGAAGAAGAAAGACAAAGAAGAAAGACAAAGAAGAAATAGTAAGAGAATAAGAAGAAAATTAATGAATGCAAGAATCAGGAACTAACATCACTGCACTCGAGGCATTCCCAGACGTGTTCCGTCTTCTTCCTCTGTAGCCAACGAAAAGTTCCTATGCTAAAAGCGGCAGTTGCAGTCTGATGAAAAGACACTCTTGTTACCTCTTACTGCAAATCCATCTGTGTAAATTAGTCCCCCCCCCCCCCCGGGCCTGACGCGTGAAGGCGTGGAGGAAAGGCCCATGGGGGGGGGGGGGGGGGAACTACTCAGCGTACTGTGAGTTACCAAATACACAATTATTATCCAAAAGATAATGTGTAATTCAAACTGAAAATATAAGCCTAAGGACACGACAAGATCGATGGAAAACAAAAACGTCCATATAAACAACAAAACATAGCCACTAAATCAACGTTACTAAACAAGCATTTATGTAAGTAAACTATAAAGCCTTTATATACAAATAATTTTAAAAAATCGTGCGCTGATTAACACTAATAGTGCTAGCTACACACAAAAAATTTCTAATATAAATACGCCCTACACATGCAAAGCCGCTAATAAATAATTTTGAAATTCATATAATTGTTTAGCCTCACATGCCCGTGCTGTACGGAGCTTTTACAAAATATACCACCCACTTAATAAATCCCAGGCTTTCACCTGCGTGCCAGCTATTGATATCTGAATCTCTCGTCGAGTTTTCATAGCACTATTGGATTTCGGTGCAATTCAAAAGGACAAGAAAATCTATAGAAATGACACTTAATAAAACGTTCAAGTGAGACTACATCAAGCGGCGTTGACAACTGAATTAATAATAAAACGGATCATTTTGTGTTTCAAAAGAAAATTATGAGAAAAGAAAAAAGGGCGCTGGAAGAAAAATTACAAAGAAATGAACTTACGTTTGACTGTTAAATAAACGTAGCGTCTGAGGTCACGATCGGTGGAGCTGATCTGACACTCATAGGCTCCCTCGTCGTCCAGTCGTACCTGGGGAGAAATACAAATCATTGTTCACAACACTTGCTTCTCCGCTACCAATGTCATCATTTGCGTCTTTCTATAATATGGTGTTTCGTTGTACTACAGAGATAAAAGTTAGTTGCGTATCCTTTGCTGGACATTACAGAACCAACCCCAGCATTGGTTGTTGAGGTTTTTCTAGGCAACTTTACGTCCAATAGTTTGATATTTCTTTCTGAGACCGGTCGACATCTCGACACGATTGTCGAAACCAACGCAAAGCCCACAGCTGCGAATCGAACTCGTCACACGATCATTACGAAGCGCGTGTGCAATTTCTAAACCACAGACGCCGAAACTATAAAGATAGGATAACCATAATATTTTGAGAAGAAAAGGGGATCCCACTAACATCTTGAGCTGAAAACGGGGTATCCTAGGCAAATCAAATCTAACTCAGCAGTCTGTTTTCTAGGTAACTGAAGTGACACAAATAATTACTAACTCAACAAGTGTATTAAAAACTGAACGACTGTCGTCAAGAAATAAACGAAACAATTTACTTTTTAACTGCACTGAAAATAAAAACATGCTACATAAAAAGTTCTATCAACACATTTCAGACACTAGAAGTATCTAAATTAGGTCACATATAATTAGGTCTCATCATCATCATGTAGCAGGTCATTTGCAGAACGTCGCACTCATCACACTCTTCCTGAAAAAAAAAGGTCTTTCGCCAGTTCTCCCGCCTCATGCGCTTTCACACTCAAGGAGTCACTTATATCCTGTGCCCATCTTCGTGTCGGTCGGCCCCTGCCCCTCCTTCCTGGTACCATGCCTTCTGCTATAATTTTTTCCAATCCGTCGTGGCGCTAGATATGACCAAAATATTTCAGCATTGGAGAAATAATGCTGTTTATTAGCCAATCTTCCTTGATGTTCAGCTCTTTTCTAAAAAGGTCTACATGTATAAATATAAGTGTATGCTCTGTTCTCCAGCTGATTCCTAGGTGTGTATAAAAAAAGGGAATAAATGACCCAGTTTCAGCCTTTAGGCGCATTGTGCATTAAAGGTTGGAAATAAAAGGTCTAAATTTTTTATAGACCAATCAGCACATGGGGCAGGGGCGCGGGGGGGGGGGGGGTTCGAGGGGATGATGTCGTCAGCACAATGCTAGCCGCATTTACTTCACAGGACTGTACCCACTCAAGGCTGGGTAGACCTGGAAGCCAAGGTAATTTTTAACAAAATATCCGGTTCCGTCAAGACCCGAACCCACGACCTTCCGATCCGAGGACGAGCGTCTAGCCGTCACCACGGCGACTCCAGGTGTGTATATATCGGGACAATTGACGGTGAGTACCCACAGAACGGCAGGACACACCTATTATTTTTTTATATATAGAAAAGTATCTAGGTGACGAGGACAATGACAAACAGAAGAACTGGAAGTAAAGAACAAAATGAATCTTGATAAATACGATGACTGGAAAAAAAAAATAATAATAAAAAACTCACTTAATTAAATGACTAAGACAAATTGAGGAATGATACAGATAAATTAAACAAGGAAAAAAAACTTAATAACTAAAATAACCATGACAAATGGAAGAACAATGTAAAGAAGGAGAAAAAGCATGACAGTTACTTATTAAAGAGTATACTGTTCTAACCTGTTTAATAATCAGGTGCCAATCGGGTCCCAATGGGACATGTTCTACACTCACTCGGTCATCGTCCACAAACGTTCTGCGGCCAATGGTCAGTGGATTCGGATCCGACTTCCGCCTCCAGATGACCTGCAGAACAAAATGAACCCAATGTTAAAAAAGCAGTAACGCGCTGAACACAAGAGATGTCAGAATGAGAATCAGCCTAAGATTATCCGAGTATGACTTACAGCACTACATTAGTGTATATATATATATATATATATATATATATATATATATATATATATATATATATATATATATATAACAATAATAATAACAAAGATAATAACATCACCATCATAAAACAGTAGAACCTCGCTTAACGAGCACGTCTCATAACCAGTAATTCGCATAACGAGCAAAACAAATTGTAAAAAAATGACTCGCTTAACGAGCGACGTTTCGCATAACGAGTGCCGAGGATAGGGGAAGTCCCGGACTTTGCGCATGTTACATCAGTGTTTAGCACTCGTTCCACTAGCATTGTCACTTGTGATCACACATTTTCTCAAACGTGTGTTATATTGTGATATATGTACACGAATCCTCCAGGCCTACAAGATGACCTCTCTGATGAATTTAAGTTAATCAAGATCCAGTTTCTGCCTCCCAACACCACTCCGTTACTCCAGCCAATGGACCAGCAAGTTATTTCTAACTTTAAGAAGCTCTACACTAAAGCACTCTTCGAGCATTGTTTTCAGGTGACTGAAGGGACCAACCTCACTCTCAAGGAGTTTTGGAAAAATCACTTCTACATCGTTGCCTGCCTTAAGATGACCGACAAGGCAGGGGAAGGGGTTACCAAGAGAACCGTAACTTCTTCTTGGAAGAAGCTTTGGCCGGAGAGCGTTGTGGATTTGTGACTTTGAGGTTTCGAGACAGTACCTGTGGAACCTGTAGTCAACGAGATTGTGTCTTTGGCCACTATCATGGGATTGTAGGTGGATAACAGTGATATCGAAGAGCTTGTGGAAGAGCACAGCCAAGAGCTGACCATCGAAGAGCTTACGGAGTTGCACTGTGTTTCACAGCAAAATGTTTTGGAGGAAAGTTTGACAGAGTAGGAGGTAACAGAAAAGCAACAATCTCCTGGCGAAATAGGAAAAATGCTGAAAGCATGGGAAACTGTTGCATCTCACATTGAGAAGCATTACCCTAATAAGGAAGTGGCTATGCGCGCTGCAAATTTAATGATAATGCTGTGTCGCATTTTCGCCAAATTTTGAAGCGTCGACAAACACAAATGTCTCTGGACATCTTTCTAGTAAAAAAAATAAAATAATTAGCTATGTATCATAACTATTTCGACTTTTGTGTGTGTTGCAAATCGAATTCGCATTCCATGTGGGTTCGTTCCGCGTTTGAAGAAAAGATGAAGATGATTCCCTCTTCTGAAATATGTACATAATTTTCTTTGAATAAATGTTATAGTATAACTTATACATAGCATTTTGTGAGTATTTTTGTCGACATGGAACGCATTATCGTATTTTACATTAATTTATGTGAGAAAAATTGCTTCGCATAACGAGTGTTTCGCTTAACGAGTATGATTCTGGAACGAATTATGCTCGTTAAGCGAGATCGCACTGTATTTACATATGTTTTAATGTGAAACAACCTTGCTAATACAATGTTTCATCTGGAATAGTTTGTGGTAATATAGCAGAACTAAAGACACTGTAGTTTGTATGAATTATTGAAGTAAATTCATTTTTTGTACTTCCTTTACGTCTGTCTGTCTGTATGTGTATGCATGGATGGATTTGTGGATATATGGATGTGTGGATGGGTTTGTGCATGGATATACGGATGGATGGATGTATAGATATATAGATGTGTGGATGGATGAGTGCTTGGATATACGGATTTAAGTATGTACGTACGTACGCACATACATACAATGTCTGTAAAATGTCATACATGCAAACAAATGTATGATCTGACACTCATAAGTTCCCTCGTCGACCTGTCGAACCTGGGGAGAAATACGAGTTATTGTTCACAACACTTGTTTCTCCGCTACCAATGTCACCTTTGCGTCTTTCCATAATAGGGTGTTTCACTGCACTACAAAGATAACAGTTGGTTGCGTATCCTTTACATGACGTTGCAGAACCAACCCCAGCATTGGTTGTGGAGGATTCGCTAGGCAAATTTACGTCCAGTAGTTTGATATTGCTTTCTGGACGAGAATTGGAAGTAAAATTAGACACAGCCAAGCATGAGAAGCACACCGGAGGCTCACAAAGTATAGTTAACCAGCACAGCACTGGCACTTTTAACCGCGCGAACATGTTGAGAGGGGAATCTGAGCACATTTGGATCTGTCCGGAGTGCTGTGAAGATAATCCAACTCATAACTCAGTTCTGGCTTAACTGTAAACAGATTGTTTGTTCCTTGCCTCTCATGCAGATGCATTCCGACCTCGAAGGAAGTCTCAGTTAGTTGACTTTTATGACATGCTTGTTGGAGTTGCAGTGGTTCTGTTCTGGTTTTCCCCACAATGAGGCCTGATAACCCATAAGGGGACAGACTGAGATGAGAAGCAGGAAATAAAATAGGCTTTTTTGTGAACTTCCTGTTTAAATGAATAATTGATATTTTTGCGGGAATTCGATACGTCTGCAATATCCTCAGATGTTTTATGTGCAATAGGATGATCCAAATAAATATTGTATTTTGTCTGGGATTTCCTGGTGTTTTGAAAGTTGCCAACGGTAATTTAAGTGATCGCAGCTGCGGTGGTGCAGATACATGACGCTCATTGGTGGCCCGCTGATCTTGTGTTCGAATCTAGATCCTGTAGGGTACTCGTTTTCTTCAGAATTGACCTCGGCTGTCAGGCCGATTTAAACTAAAAAGGGTACCAGGCAATGATACAGGAAGCCAATGGTATGAATGTAAAGTAAACAATACAAAACCATGTATCGGGAAATACATACATTTAAGTAAACATGCTTGCATATATTCACAACACGCTCATAATTAAACACACGCATACATACACAATCTTGCAAACACACACTTTATACCGACAGACCGTTATAAACAATAATTTATACAAACGTACGCATACTCATATACACATCAACGCGCATACATACGTTTCGCTCCAGGATACACACATACACACTCAATCCTCTACATACACACTCAGTTACAAACACTCATACACATACACTCATACATACACATGCGCATACATACACACCGGCACACACATATGCGTATTCCATGTTCTTCCCAATTAAACTGAAACACTCCAATATTTCGCAATCGCAGACATATACACGCACACTTATATAAAGGAGAAACACAGGAAGAAGAAACGAAAACCTACAGCCCTCACAAACGGAGACCAACGACAGCATTACAACTGATTTTACTTCGCAACGTTTTTGCTTTGAATTAACACTAAACTGATACCTTCCTAGTGTTAACTGTATATTTTTTCCTCTATGTTAAAGCTTTTTCACTGAATAATATGATAGATGGAATGTCCACGTAGTGTTTACATCTTTTTACTTGTTACCCCTATATGTCTGTCTGTCTTAATGTGTATTTGGTATATGGGGGCTAATGGGTTAGACAAATTTTTGTTACATAGATCAGTTTGAATTAATGCATAATGTAGTTAGTGGAGGCGATACATGGATAGGGGTGGAAAGGGTGGGGGGGGGAGGGGGGGGGGGTTAGTTCTACTTACAGTTATGCTAGGTGGGCGTGTGTCTGTGTGTGTATGTGTGTGTGTATGTGTATATGTGTGTGTGTGGGCTTTAAGAGACCAAAGCCTTATTAACTGCACAAAGTAAATAATAGAAAAAAAAAAAACTGATAAAAATTTGTAGAATGTGATGTACATAAACAACAAATTAAAAGGAGTGCTTCTATGCCTGGTTGGAAAAAGAGTCTGTGTGTGAGGAGGGTGGGGGATTGGGGGGGGGGGGGGTAAGGGGGTTGCCTTTAAACAATTTAATGTAAACAGTATTTTTTCGGAAAGGAGGGGGGGGGGTGGGGAGTTCAAGGGGCCTCAGCTACCAGGGCCCTGTCATTATCCACCCTCCCCACCCCAGGCAAGTTTGGTTGCTAGCAAAACTGCCGATACCAATTTGGACTGGGTAGGCTCGGCAGTGTAGGATAAAGTAAACAAACCTCTCGACAGGAATTAAAAATAATCATTAAAGAAATGAGACCCCGCGAAAATATACCCATGTCAAGTGGTCAGATATGCCGTAGATGTACGGAACATAAATGGAACATTCTGATAATGTAAACCTTAATGAGATATTCCATTGTGTACCTGTGGCATCTGAACGCAGAATTATGTGGCGAGATAGTGGTAAAATGATGGCAGCCAATGATAATGCTCTAGAGAATACATGTATATCAAGATGAGGACGTACATTAGCAGACGGCATGCAGGGAAGTCAGAAAACTGACCTGTTGAAAAACATCGCTGTTGTTGTACACTGTTTGTTGGTTGACGAAATTTATGTCCTCCCAATTGGGAAAAACCATAATTCAGAGAGTTAAAACTGTATCTACCGCCTGTATCTACCACTTAAGGGGTTTTTAGGACATGGTGGTCGTGATCTGGAGGGCCTAATGCCACATGTCTAGTGCAGCAACCCAAACTGTGTAAGTTAGGATTTCTCTCTGTCTGTGTGTCTGTCTGTCTGTCTGTCTGTCTGTCTGTCTGTCTGTCTGTCTGTCTGTCTGTCTGTCTGTCTGTCTGTCTGTCTGTCTGTCTGTCTGTCTGTCTGTCTGTCTGTGTGTCTGTGTGTCTGTATGTCTGTCTGTGTGTCTGTGTGTCTGTCTGTCTGTCTGTCTGTCTGTCTGTGTGTCTGTGTGTGTGTGTGTGTGTGTGTGTGTCTGTCTGTCTGTCTGTCTGTTTGTCTGTCTCTCTGTCTGTCTCTCTGTCTCTCTGCTCTCTCTCTCTCTCTCTCTCTCTCTCTCTCTCTCTCTCTATATATAATATATATATATATATATATATATATATATATATATATATATATATATATATCTGCGTCTGTAAGAGTGCGCATGTGTGACAGAAAAAAAAAAAACACCCCCT